TGAAAGTCGCAGGGGAGGGGGGTGGAAAGGGGCACAAATGAGCGCAGGGCTGGTGGGGCCGGCTTCCTCTGGGCCACGGGCATGACCAGGGCCTCGGCGTTCAGGTGCATGGAGGTGATGTGGCTCAGCAGGGAGGGGAAGCTGATCGGGCGGCCGTCCTGCATGGGCCAAAGAGCACGGGGGTCAGCACAGGCCAGGGGAGTGGCGGGGCCAGGCAGAGCCTGGACACGGCCCATGGGGCCTCCCACTCCTTGCAGCAGTGCTTGGAGAACAGGCCCCTGCCTGCACAGGGCACCCAGAGCTGCGCCCACCCAGGCACGACCCTCTCCCAGCACCCGGAGGTCCGCGGTTGCAAGCCCCTCCCCCCCCCAAGTCCCGCTGCCCCGGGGCCATGCCCCCCCGCTTGCAGGACGCAGCTCACCTCTGCCTGCAGCATCCGCAGGTTAAGGATGTGAAAGTCGCAGGGGAGGGTGGTGGAATGGGCTGCCAGTCCTGGCGCCGGGGAAGCCCAAGGCTTTAAACATGGAGGCCAGTTTGGAAAAGAAGCTGGAGCTCTGAATGGGTGACATGGTGCACGCACAGAGAGCAGCGAGGGGATGGGACAAAAACACTCCGATTACAAGGGCGGCGTGGCTCTGCACCCCATCGGCGGGACAGACCCGGGTCCCCAGTCCCACCCTCCCCAACCCTGCTCCCTCCCGGCACGGCCAGTCCCTGCGCAGTGCCAGCGCGATGCTGGGGGAGGCACGGCACAGCAGGGGCTGCCAGTCCTGGCGCCGGGGAAGCCCAAGGCTTTAAACATGGAGGCCAGTTTGGAAAAGAAGCTGGAGCTCTGAATGGGTGACATGGTGCACGCACAGAGAGCAGCGAGGGGATGGGACAAAAACACTCCGATTACAAGGGCGGCGTGGCTCTGCACCCCATCGGCGGGGGCGACCCGGGTCCCCAGTCCCACCCTCCCCACCCCTCCCTGCTCCCGGCACGGCCAGTCCCTGCGCAGTGCCAGCGCGATGCTGGGGGAGGCACGGCACAGCAGGGGGGGACGCCCTGCACCCAGTCGCATGTGTGGCTTTCTGCAGATGCCTCCACCCTGCTCCATCCCAAGGCAGGGCTGGGCTCTCGGGGTGAGCGGCGCCGTGCCCCACCCCGGTCCTGCGGCCTCGCAGCCCATGCACCTTGT